CCCCAAAACCCCAAAACCCCAAAACCCCAAAACCCCAATATTTCAAAATATTTTGAATATGTTATGGGCAACTCTCTATAATCGAAAAGGCTTCCCACATTGTACTGAGAGAGCTCTAGTTTCTTTTCTAAACAACCAGGCTGCTGCCATATATAATTCTTACAAAACAACTAGTGGTCTTTGACTGATTCATTTCATTAAGGTTTACGAACTCAAAGCCAGTCTTTTACTAAAATTCATTTAAGAAAATCAAGATGGTATCTGACTTTTCTGCTATAGAAACCCAAATGACCCATGTCATAGAAAAGCAAGCTGAAACATAGTAATCCTAACCCCCTTGGCATGAGCTTTCGTATGAATCCTCGTGCTAACCCCAATACACGACCAGAAACTAGATGCTTATTTCTGGATACTCTGGCTACTCTATCTCTACTTACACCTCTACATCTCTGTCTATGGGATCCTTGCCTTGTCCAACAACAAGTACCACCTGGTGTATTTCCACCCATTCACTTATATCATGTACTTTTTCCACCTGCCCTTCTACTGCTGAATCACCAAAACCAAAGCAAACCCTAAACAAGACCTGAACGAAAGCGTCAGTACAAACTACAGTATCGAAGGATACGACATCGAAGGATTTGCAGAAGTCAAGCCCAAGATGGATGAAAATATCTTCGAAATTTATGATAGATTAACCATTCATGATCAGTTGACTAGAGCAAAAAGCTTTAGAAAGACATTTATCCTTAAGCCGATGGCTCAGAAGACGAAGCAATTACTCCCTGATGATGTTCCTTCTGTTGAGAGCGAAATTTCAAGAATTTCTGAGGAATCGAAGGTTGAGCTTTGTCCTGTTTGTAAAGAATCCATGGAAGAAAACCAACACATTGTGACATCAGCATGTGCCCATCAATTCCATTTCAAGTGTATGATGAATGAAATGCGCACCAAGAGAATCTGCCCTGTCTGTGAAGAAAAATTGAGGCCAAAGTAAATGAGTTCTCAACCAAAACAGCTATCGAAATATTTATCTTCTATGATTCAGTCTAATCCTATCATCTTGGGGTTTTGGGGTTTTGGGGTTTTGGGGTTTTGGGG